ATGAAATTAAAACGGGAGGGTCGCGCATGGTATGGGCACATATCCCCAAAGTTTCAGCCTTCTAGCCTTTTTGGGTCGCGAGTTGAAGGTGGGTGACAAAAAGTGCCAACACACAGACACACACATACACAGCCTCTCCCCAATATGCCTTTTTGCAATTTACATGTATGCAAAAAGACACAAAAATCAGATTCAAGTCGTTTTTTACCTCCTCCTTCCTCTTTAAAATTTGTCCATGTTCCAATATTGCAACATTATTCAACTTCCTTCTCCCCGCCCCTGATAACAACAGAATCCCTGGCATTCCCATTAATTGCAGTACTCACTGCGTTAGTAACGGCTGTACAGTAATTAAAGTAATAATAACGAATCCAAGAACCGTTTTTAAATGTACCCTCAAAAATATCTTTTCAAAAATCCTAAAAATGCCCCCTTAAGAAATTTCGTTAACACTGTTTTACGGAAAAACAACCATGGCACTTTAAGTTCTCAACGTTTAGTTAAAGGCGAACACAAAAATGATAAAGTTTGTAGCACAAATGATCAACCTTGTCAAAATTTGTGCATGGACTTCGAGACCAATAAAAGGCTGGTATGAAGGACGCGCTTCCCGGACTGCGCATAATAATCCATGCCACAGCTTCATCGGGAGCTTTAAGCGATTACTATTCAATTAAGAAATCCAAGAATCCAGCCAGTCACACAGAGAAACATGCACTTGACCAATTGAACGGGAACTGCGGGCTTGCCAGTAAGTCTACTTTCCAGAACATACATGATAAACATTTCGATTCAGAGCAGCTGCTAATGAGACACAAACGGACGTACGCTTTTCCTATATGTGCACAGATTATTGATAAAGACATACGTAGAAAATTCATGCATATGTACTTCTGCATACACGTACACACAGACGCACACACACACATATATTCACACGCAATACATATATGCATATATACGCTCATAATATAAATAGATCCACGCATACATACATATCATACACACCTACATACACATACACATACATATATACATACAT